TTATGAATAAAAATACTTTAGAAAAATTGAGTATCTCGGTCTTTCTGCTGGGGTGTTGTATCCCTTTCATCCTGGGTTGGCCTTGGCAGGTAGCGCCGGAGCCAGCCTCTTATGAACATTAATGATCTAAATTGTGTTGCTGGGGGCATAAAAACACTTTCATTCAAATTTTTAAAAAGGAAAACAACTTAACTGTGAAAACTTCGGTCCACTGCAGCATCATATCGGTTATTACACTTAAATACAACACAGATGCAAGGCATTTTTACTAGCCTAATTGACTTGCCTAAGCTCAAAGACCTCGGAATAAAACCTTCTTTCTTATCAAGATTTCAGTGCGTGAGTCGGGCATTCGCGCAGCGCAGGTAGCCCACAGTTCCGCCGCGAGAGAGGGCTCCTATCAGGCGTGCGGTGCCGCCCACAGAGCATCCTCCATTACTTTTAATCTCCTTGGCGGGCCCCTTTATCGTCTACAATACAAACTACAAACCCAGTCGTAACAAAAATCTAAAGTAAACAAAAAAAAAACAACCCCAAAACCCCAAACCAAAAAAAAAATAGTGTTCTCGTAACAAACCCCTACTTAATAAAAAATTTAAAAATAGATAATTACTATTTAGAAATTTAGATTGAGCCAAAGGACCTTTCAGACTTAGAATATTAAAATTAAAATCTTTTGTCAACCAAACATAGATCTACATTCGGTAGTCCATTGCTTGATCTGAATTTGATCTACATGGGAGGTAATGAAATGAATTAAGCAAAAAAATCAACAACAACCCCACAGTGATTTCCCTTGGTGAGTATATCCCTACGTAAAGTATTTGTTAATGAATATGGCTTCAAATATAAGAAAATACAATAAAAAATAATATTCTTGTGATTCTCACTCAATACATTGGTTTATGAATCATAATCATCTCTGAGCTTAATATTATTTTTAAAAACTAGATTCTGTTGCGCAAGGATATTCTGGTTTCTGGCCAAAGTACCACCATAAACAACATGGCGGCAACGGATAAACACCTTTTGGACTTACTGTGGTTAATCAACTGTTACTAAACCATGTTTGGCACAATCCAAGTGGGTTATCAAGTCACAAAAGCCACGGGATTAGGAAACTTGCATACCTCCAAGGCCTACTGTGTCTTTCATTGTTTTGGAAAGCCGTGATCAGAGACAGAGTGAGAATGTTTGTATGCCTTCGCCTTCCTCTCCACTCTCCTCTACTTCTACTTCTTCTTCAATATTGAATCTTTGTTTTTGCTTTTAAAGCCTTGTTTGTTGTCAGTCAGTGTCACTCACTGTACATGTACAATGTATACCGGCGATAAGACTGCCCGCACTTGTTAAAATAGACAAGATCTAGATATATGCTTATACTGATAATAATACTCTTTTAAGATGTCTCTGTCTAAGGACTTTACTAAGCTTCGAAGGCTCTTCTAAGGGAAGCAGGTCTGTTCTTCTGGTTCTGACAAGTGTAATTTTTCTTACATTTTTACACTAAAATAGTTTTCAAAAGTTAAAGATCTCTTCCCTACTGAGTAGGCTACAGATCTTTGATTTTCTTTAAGTCTAACTACTCCTCCATACCCCAATTCAATCATCCAGTCCTCTAGTGACAGCTACCGAATCTTGCCATAAACTATACTAGACTTAGATACTATTCGTGGTTCTGTTCTGGCTTGAATTACTTGCCCCCTTCCCCTGGTGCCACTTCATCATGATCTTCATGTCATGGAGAGAGAGAGAGAGAGAGACAGAGAGAGAGAGACGACTGAGAGACAGAGAGAGAGAGAGACAGAGAAATTAACCAAGCTTGATTCTTTTCTCTACCTCTACGTTTATTTCTGGCATGGTAAAATTAGTTTGTACACAATTCCTTATAAATTCTTATATAATAAGGCAAATAGATCTATGTGATTGTTTCTCATATGTCAAAACTTGCTTTGAATCTTTCTCTCCTTCCTCTCCCAACTGCTTCTTTCATTCTGAACTTTTAGTTGGCTTCAGGAACACTTAATTATTATCTAATGAAACCTGTACAGTAATGGTCATATGTCCTAGAAACGTACACTATTATGACACTGTGATGTACCTCTGTCAAAGACTACCACTTTTCTCTTTGACTGTGGATCCACGGCTATCTTGGACAGTTTTGATTGCATTTGTTTCCTGACCAGGAATTTTAACTAGGATTTTAATATTTAAAGCAAAAAATGAAAATTAATTTGCAATTACAAACCAAGTTGTGCTCAATACATTCTGTAATACAGTAGTCTCCGCCTAAGATCCCGGTGCTCGGGAGCAAGAAAATGCAGGATCTTAGGCGAACCGGGATCTTAACTGACGAACCCAGGGAAGAATCTATGGTGACCCATGCTAAGGCTCACAATCAGTAAAATGGTCTCCCTCCCCTCTAAAATGAACTGACGTGACCCCTGGGTGGGATTATGACATATGGCGTGCAAAGAGTGGTTAACCTTGATGACCTATCACAGTGCGATGAGGCATGCCATTTTCACACCTATTATCCTATCACGAGTCTCAAGATCTAAGCTTATCAGTTGCCCCTCCCCCTTACCTGTCGAAAATTTATATATATAGCTTTCCATCTCTGACCAAGTCTTGTTCCGTAAATTATGATCTGAAATAGAAATGTGGGGTCTTAGCCGAATGTAGAGGGGAGGGGGGAGGGGGGGCACTAGCGGTCCGGGTGTTGAACGTCGCATAAACGCGTCAGTCTTTTTTTCCTTCGGCAACTGATCATTAATCATTATTACAATAATAAGATAGTCTTGACGTTGATCTACGTAATGAATTGTGCGCTTGCCTATGGAATCAAAAGTTGCCGTATGCTCGGCTCTACACAGCAACACAACTTTTTCTTGGTAAACAATCGAGATGACACAGGCTTGTGTATTTGAACGAATCGGTCTTTTTTTTCACAACAGCTCATAATATGCAGGCATTTCAGGCACTACTTGTGACTTCTCTTTATACATTACTTGCTCAGTGCCTGTAATTATGTACACAAAACCTCGTGTTTGCTATAACGAACTCTCGGATTCAACGAGATTTTATGTCAGGCCCATCGCTTCTCGGCCTTTTGGCTCCGATCAAAGGTGGTATCTGTTCTCCGCTACTCCTCTGGCCTTGTGCCCCCTGGTTTAGCGAGGCAGGTACTGCCTGAGGCACTCTGAGGGACGGAGAAATCTGACCCTCTTTTCTATCGGGTGGACGGTTATCGTCCGCTAATAAAAAAAAAAAAGGTCAGGCCCAACGAACTCGTTGAAACCGAGTTCCACTGTATACCATGTGTCACAATGCAGTGGAATCAGGCACTCATCAATTTTTGGGCATGGAGTTATTGGTATTGCATTAAAAGCTTGTTCATTTGCCTTGCATTCAATGAAAGAATTACACATTATCTAAGTACCCGTCAAGAAATTTGCGATTGAATGAGGTGGGGGTTCCCTGATTTCAGATTTTAGGGAGAAAATAGCCACCAAAGGGTTATTTACAAAGTCTCAGAGTCTGTGGAAACTGAAAATTTACATATTTTGTGCCTTTAATCAGCGTTTTTCAATATAATTCACAGTGAAATGAATGAGTTGAGCCAAAAAAACAAAATTTCGACAAAAATTGCCAAAACCAGTGGAAAAGTGCCAGTTTCTTTACTTTCATTACTTTGACGAGTGCCTCATTTTACCCTGCTGCCTCACATATTAGTATTTGTAATGGCCAAAAACAAGTCTCTTTTACTGGAAGTTCTTTTACTAGATCTAGAGAAAAAAATGTCAGTATGGCTTCATTTCTTTAGATTTGATGAATAGTTTAGTAATGCTTGTGCCATTTTTAGATTTTGTGGTAAGAGAGGGCTCCGGCTGTGGGGAAATCCCCTCTGAAGATAATTAGAAAGGTAAAAGGCCACTGAAAACATTCCCCCACAAAGTCACTTGACTTGAGTAACGAATTAAGTTGAGGCGTAAAGGATATGTCACGATTAGTCGAGAGAGGTGGAACACTTGTTGCGGTTGCGTTTTATGAAAAAAAACAACAACAACAGTTTCACTTACTGCAGTTTGCTGAAGAGCTCTGATACAAGACTTGTTAAAATCAAGTGCTTTTCACATTTTGTCATAAAACTGTTAATCTGATTATAATAAATCTGTTGAAAATGTTTTTTTTGCTTTCAGAAACTGAAGAGTTATCTTGCATCACAATATGGCCTCAGAATCTACATACCAACACCAGTCCTCTGACAAAGAAAACATTCCTTTCAATGATAAAGATCTGGCTGGAATCTCTTCTGAAAACATGAAGGAGAATGATGAGATGGCTCTGACTGAGTCAGATGTGGATGCAAGAGTCACTCATGATGCAGAGGAATACAGAACTGAGAGTCCCAGACGTGTGCGGGACATTCACCTGGATGGGACAACGGATAATATGCCGAATGTGGATCCTTACATGTTGGATGGGAAAGATTTGGACATTCAATCTGAGGCTGGAGGGCAAGCAGGTTAGCATGCTGCATTTAGCTGTTAAACCTGTGTTAACAGAAAAAGTGAATAAATGTGTGTGTGTGTGTATAATATATTTATATGTGTGTGTGTGTGGTTTTTATAGAGATCTTCTATGAATTAGTTTCTTACTCTGTGATTTTGTGATTTTTGCAATGGGTGTTTGAAATGTCTTTTAGTCTTTAAAACAATTTCTTTTCATTTAATTCTCTTTTGCCTCTGACTTTTCTCTAGTTGCTAATGAAAATGTCGACTGTCATGTCATTTTTAATTTAAACTTGCTATAAATATGTGTGTACCCCCCCCCCCCCCCCCGGGACGTTGCTACTGACTGAAATGTCTCAAAAGGGGGGGGGGGGAACATTAACATCTCGAGTTCTTTTATGCACAGTAGAATTGTAATTGTAAATGGGCTGATTCGTCAGTGTCACGCTCATAACTGAGCCTGAACTGCAACAGGGAACTGCGGCTTTTTCTTTACTAATCTTTACTATCATCATTTTCCTCTACTTCTTTTGTATCTTTGTCACACTTTTGTGACCTGCTATTTCCGGGGTGCCGTGACAGTCGAAGCAGACTTTGTGCTGTTGAAGCTAGAGAGGTAAACAGAGTAAATCTGATTCCCTGTAAGGACTTCTCTGTTGACATCCACCCCTTGGCGCTCATATATATATGACCTTATGCAGTTGGGAGCGCTGTAAAACCGCGACTAAAACTAAAACTAAAATATGTGTGTGTTTTGCTGTTTTGTTGGTTGATGTAAAATAATATAGTCGAAGCAAGTATTTCATTTTTTTGTGGTATTTTTATGCATGCTTTTAATGCTTTTATTTTCAAGGAATGATTATATTTGGGGGTTTACTTACAGGCAGTGTGTGCTCCAGCCTCAGTACACGTTCATGGAAATCTACTCGAACACCTCGGACTCCGAAGACAAGAACCTCTACAAGTTCTGCGCCTCGGTCTTCAATTGCAAGTCGGGCCAGAAACATTAAAGATCACGAGGTGAAAGAGAAGAATGCATTAACTTTTTGAAAGATTGAATGATCTGTAATGGTCTTTGAAACCTATGAGAAAAATCAGATACAAAGTTGGCTTTAATTGTGGGGATATTTTTTTTCCCCCAAGTGTTTCTCCCCTAACCCATCACTTTTTCCTGTTTCTCTCTGTCTCATTCTCTCTTTTTGCATCTTTCTCTCAGTCCATCTCTTTTTATCTCTCTGAATTTCACATGCTTACAAGGTAAGAATACACCTACCTACTTTGATGTGCCCCCAAAAGTTTTGTCTGAAGTTTTGAAAGTCACACATTATAACAGTCTAATGAACATTAGAGACCTCACTCAATTTTCTACTTTTGACCTTTTTTTCAGTCGGGACCTTTTCTCTCTATTGATCTCATGCCTGAGGGATCCCAGTCTCCATCTGTTCGAAAATCGGGTCAGTCGTGTTGATAATATAGAATTTATGATAAACTGAAAAGCTCTTAACAGTTTCATTGTTTTATGTCTTCTTGCATGCATGCTTGTTTTTCGCTTATATATATTCATGCTGAACACTTATCCTTTTAAAAGAGTTGAAACAAATCTATAGCAGAAATCGATACACGAATGTAATATTTCACGGGCTTTAGAATAGCATTTCTACTATAACTGTCAGTTCAATTTATTATATTTTTTTGTCATATAGGCTGCTGTTGGCTTCTTTGCCATCACCACTTAACATAAGGGGTATACCATGTATAATATGTGAGGCGTGCTGATAAAATGAGTTACTTCTCACAGTCCACAAATGGAGATATTGGCTAAAAATTGACACTAGGGTCAAATTTGTAGATTTTCTATTGATGCCACATTTCTTCAGGTATAACATACTTTTTATTTCATACTTATAAATTGTAAAAACTTCAACTATAAGCGTGATGTATCTTTTTCCTTAAGGCCTGAACCCGAGAAGTAACTAATTTTGTAATCCCACTTCACATATGAGTAATCTTTGGTAGGGGAAAAGGGAGACTTCCAGCTCCAGCTCCAGTTTTGATTTAGGTTTTTCATAAATATTTCCCAGCAACATGACTTTGCCAAACTAGATTCAGAGCATGTAGGAGAGGTGTTAAAGTTATATTTATGCATAAGTACCCAAGCATATATGCTTCGGTTACCCTACTGCGTACCACCTCTGTGTGTGGTGGTGTAGTTCTAGCAGTGGACCTGAAGGAGCTGAAGTGTGTGAATCCTGTAGTGATCTTGGTTCAAACTGTTAACGTGTTTTTTTTAAAGATCAGGCATCTCTTGTTGTTGACTGCTCAGTGTAAGACTCCGTCAAATGTGACTTTCTGTTATGTTATGACTTACTTGTTGAGTCTTGAGTCCTGAAGTAGATCCAGAACTTGGAGATGTTGGTGGGGCCCCTCCTAATATAGTGTTCTAGTAGATCTCGATTAGCCTATGTTGCTTCTCTCAGCTCTAGCTAGCGAGTGGCAGGTATCATCTTAAAGCTTATTCATTCGCCTATCTTTGGATGAAAAACATATTCATCTATTTTGAATAGAAGTCGAGATATTTGCGATTGAATGAGGTAAGGGTTGCCTGCTTGTCAAAATTTGGTAACCTCTATAGCTCGAGAGTCCTTGGAAACTGAAAATTTATGCATTTGTGCCTTAATCAATCTTTTTCAGTAAAATTCGCACAGAAATGTATTTTTAGATGGATGTAAAAGGTGCTGAGCCAAAAAAAAAATTCAATATAAATTGCCAAATTGTCTGAAAAATACCAATATCTTCTATTTCAGTATTTTGACAAACACCTGATTTCACCACAATCCCTCTCATATTGATTATATTCGTGCTTTTACATCAATCAGGATCAAGGCTTGGCAAGTCGTCGCTCCATAGCAGTCATCACACATTGCTCTCGGCATCCAGCAGTGGTCTCGTTTCACAGCAGTCTGCTCGTAGTGTCGAGGGAGGCCTCAGGTATTCCCCTTTGAAAGTGTGTGTTATAGAAGGAGTGGAAAATTGATCTATTTCTATCAATTTTTTGGGATGTCAATTTCTATGTAAAATTTTGCTCATGGCGTTTGCGTCCCTGTGAAGATCTCTTACTCTCAGTGGAATATCATCTTGGTAAATTTTATTGGTTTTTTCACAAATTAACATTTTCCCCTCCATCCCCCTTCCCCACCTTGTGCTCTTTTGTTCATGTTTTTTTTAACATTATTTTCATAATACTGAAGCCTCTTGATTTTAGTTGTCATTCTCTGTTAATAAAATGAAACCTTTATTTTATGAATCTGAGGCCATTTTTCCGTGTTCGATTATTTAAAAATATTTTTTGTGTGCAATAAATGTCCTCTGTAGGCAAGGTATGGTTTGAACTCTGGGCCAACATTTGAAAAGGGAATTGAGAGTAAAATTGATGAGTGTAACTGTAAGGTTCTTATGTTTTCTTTCATTTTCTTCTAAGAATAAAAGTACAGGCGTGTGTTTTATTTACAGCTATCTTGTATGTCTATGACTTTTGAAATGAGTACATTGTTTTTGTCTGGTTGAAGTCAGTTTGAGCCCTTTTTTAAGAATTTACTTGACCTAGTACACTCAAGCAGGGTCTCTGCTCTCAAGGAGGCCACTTTTGGTTTGCCATGACTTTGCATGCAAAAGAAACTGTTAGCTTTTCTCACCCTGCATCAGGGTATTGACCACGGACAAACACTCTCCGCCTTTCCCTATCCTGGGCGAGCATCTAGATTTTATTCCATGACTTATTTTTCTTAACATCGTTCTGTGGGACTCTTCAGACTCTTCTCCAGGTTCCATGTGGCCTCCCCTTGATCTCCTACCTGTGGATTCCAAATATTTGTTAGGCATGCTGACAAAATGAGTTACTTCTCGCAATCCACGAATGGAGATATTGGCCAAAAATAGACATTAGGGTCAAATTTGTAGTTTTTCTATTGGTGCCATATTCTTAAACTATAACATGCCTTTTGTTATTTCATACTTATAAATTGTGAGTGATGTATCTATTTCCTTAAGGCTTGAATCTGAGAAGTAACTCATTTTGTCAGCACACTTCACATTTAGTATGGGGGCTTAAAATGGACTTTTTCCCTTTCTCCTTCTCCAGTCCACGTCGTCCAGATCTCAGCCATTTGTCACCTTCCTCATTTTCCTCACTGACCAGAAAACCAGCGAAGCCAAACGTCAATGTGAAAATGCCTTTCAAACAACATGTTGTGGATGAAAGTCTCAAAGATTCGGCAAGTACTTTTTTGTTTTACTAAACAGTTATGTTAGTGCTTAGGTTAGCGTAACTTTTCCTCTTCAGCCAGGTCAGTACTGGCTGGGAAAAAAATGCTGTGTTAGTTTTCTACCCTGTACTTTTTCTTTAGTTTTGTCAGTGTTTGCAGATGCAGATGGGTGCTTGGGAATAGGAAAAGAAGGAAAAATGTGGATATTTGACAGGCTACTTTGATGTATATTCCGAGGGGTGGCTTGAAAAGCTATTGTGATATCTCGTGAACTTTCATTTGGAAAGTAAACATTTCTGAAACCATTGCACCGAAGCTACGAGTATATTCGTAGCTGCTGTGCGCTTCCGAACCACTTATACAGGTTTCTATTGAAAATGATAGGTTGCTTGTAGCTTGTAAAAACTTTTGCTTGCTTAAAGAAAGTGAAAGTAGATGTAAATGTAGAAAAACAAGGCGATCAGATTGATTTTAGTGCCTCGAAAACTTTGAAGAAAAGCTAGATCTAGCCCATTGATTTACTACAAGTTGCAAGTACTGATGAGTCGCAGTCAGACGAAGAATATATATTGTTTTTTCTGGTGTTTTCTTCTTGTTTCTCTCTAATAATATTAAAAGAATATTTTAAGTAAAATCTAAGCGAAATTTCGTATTGATACCTTAAATAGTTTAGGCACAAAGTGTGTCTAAGGTATGTGTGTCGAGTTCAGACCGATTTTATCCCCCGGCTTTCGGCAAGCCAGGTGGACTCAAGTGCTTTGCCCGTGGCAACGCAGTGTGAATTGGGTTAATACTGCTCTATTCTTCTGCTTCCTTTGTGGTGCACTTGCTGTGTTCGTACTATTTTCTGTTTGTAACTTTAACTCATTCGCCACATATTATTTTTGGCTTGTGGACGAATTCTTTTCGAGAGGGCGAAATGAGATGATGACTAGTGGGCAGTTCACAGGTCTTTGGGACCATAAATTCAAATAAATATCAACATATTATATACCAACATTTTCAATATGGTTTGTAGAATACATTTGCATTATTTATTTGCGTATTTTTCAACTTTGGTTCCTGTAAGAGGCGATTATGCAACACAATTGTGATTGGATGCGGATAAAATTGGAAAATAAAAAAAATTATAATCTCAGGTGAAACTAAAAAAATATGTTGGCACCTAGTCAAATGATACTTCAAAATAACCATAACTGTATATAGAACAGGAAAATATAGAAAAATGTGCAGTTATTTACATACATTCCATAATATTTGTACATTTGGATCATAACATCCGATATTGAAAAAAAAAAAATTTTAAAATAATTTTGAAAAAAGGATCACAAACAGAAAAAAATACACGTATCTTATATGGAATTATTCAGAATTGCATTTGGAATAAACCTATACATGTCTTGAGTGGTACTTTTTGATTAATTTCACCCAAAAGTAGTGATTTTAGAGAGAAAAAAATATTTTGACTATTTAGATCTAGGCCTAGATCTAGCGCTAAAAAATATTGATTTCTCAATTACAGTGCACCGGCAATTTGCGCCCAATAGTATCAATATTATAAAGAAGAGTCCTACATTTCTTTAGTGAGCAAAATAATGATAGACTTTGTTGTGTAAAAGTACTAAGACTGGTGTCTGGGCTATAATTTGGGCGTCGTGATAAAACAAAGTCGAATAAACTACGAAATCGTGTTTAAAAACTGAATCAAGACTTCCGATTTTCGGTGGAAACGCTTGACCCGGAAGTCAACATTATATTATGACCTTTATTTTAACATGGATATGTGGATTGGAATAGAAACCAAGCTAAAATTGAACATCGGTTCTCGAGCCGCCGGGGGCGGCTTAGCGTACGGACGGCACTTGAGCCGCGCCGTCCCCCACGGCTCGGCGTAGCGAATGAGTTAAATGCAAATAACAAAACAAGGTCAATCCGAGCATGGGACTAATGTTGTTATTCTTTCATGCATTTGTTATAATTTGCAACTTTAAACTTTATGTATATTACAGAACAAAGTCAATCCAGGCATGGGACTAACAGAGCGTACAGCACTGGCCACCCATCTCATTCACAAAGTCTTGAGGGACCAGAGACCGTCCAAGACTCACTACATCAGTGGAAGGCTGCTAAAAGCCAGGTGATGATGAAGTTTGTTTTGTAGAATAGAACTCACTTGAACGAAGAAAAGGGTGTCTTTCCATTTTTTCCGTTTGACTCTAGAGCTAAGAAAAAGATGTCTTTCCCTTTTTTTGGTTTGATTATCCTATTTCTTTTTTTAAAAAAAATTGTGTTCTTTGTTTTTATATTGATTTTTTGTCTGTGGTTGGTGGGTGCTCCTTCTTTCTGATCAAACATATATCATCTTTCTCAGGTTTTCTTTTTTGTGTTTGTTACTCTTCTCTAACACTTTTGACCGTCGCCGCTTATATGACCTAATTGGGTTGTAAGTGTTGTTAAACTTAATTAAACAAAAAGAACATTCTCTTTTTGTCTCCATAGTTTTTTTTCAGGGCTCTAAGTTTATCGTTTTTTCGTTTTTGTCGAGGACTGACGTTATGATTTTTTTCCTAGATATTTTAAGTATTAACAAATAGTTTGTCATTGGATCCTCCTCCCCCCCCCCCCTGTTTTTTACAGGTTGAAGCCTTTAGAGCCTGTGAGGTTCTCTGAGCCGACAATACGTCAGTGTCGTGGCATTGTGGCAGGTAACACAGATCATTTCATACAATGTCCTAGTAAAAAGTAGAAAATAGAGATACTCAATAAAAATGTAAAACAATTTAAAAAAGATTTCAAATGTACAAATATCACCTTGCTCCTATCAGAGGTGGACTTTAAGAGGAGGCGACGTCCATAATGTAACCTGACTGTGCATTGTCCCTTTCCTGTTCAACCTCACCAAAATACCATTTGTGTTGCGACGGGGTGGAATCAGGCGCTCATCAATTTTTGGGCATGTTGGGTCATTAATATCATTTTAAAGCTTATTCATTTGTCTGGTTTTTGATGAAAAAAAAATACCAATCTATCTTGAATAAAAATAATGGTATTTGCGATTGAAGGATTTGATTTGAGAGGTCAACTCTGTGAGAAAATGGCGGTCAAAGTTTGGTGACTTACAGAGCTTGAGAGTCCGTGGAAACTGAAAAGTTGAATTTTTTTGCCTTTGTTCAACGTTTTTTCTATAAAATCAAGACAGAAATGTGTTTTTAAATGGACATAAAAGGTGCAGGTGGGATTTTTTAAAATTTCATTATTTTGTTGAGCGCCTGATTTCACCGCACTGCCTCACATTTGTCTCTCCAACATGAAAATGTAGTCTTGTATTCATTTCTAGTAAAAAAAAAAATGAGTCAGGGCTGTTGTCAACTGTCCGAATTTACTTTCATTTTCATTATGCTCAAAACAAATGTGAAAACACAAGAAGGTTGCTTTGAGCAAAGTAAAATATTTTAAAAATGAGTTGCTCTTTTTGATGAAGAGGAAAGGGTTAAGGGACAACAAAAGCACCCGTCTATCTTGAATAGAAGTCAAGATATTTGTGTTGCAAGTGCAGTAAAACTCTTACTTTACTTTTACTTTTTCTTTTTCATCCTCTGTTGCCATTAATACTTTCCACCCATGCAGCCCACAGAGCACACAACACAACCTTTTCCCCCATGTATCAGGATGCAGATGGAATACATCAGTACTCTACCTGTATCTCGGCAAAAATACCCCAACAATTATGAAATTTTCAGCATATTGAGAAAATTAAATATGATGATCGCATTTGCACCGAAAAAGGAATTAGAGCCGGGACTGAGAACATTAGTTCTTGCACATTGATCAAGTAAGTGTAAAGCAGCAATCATGCCAGATCTACTCAACATTTTTCAAAACAATTTACTCCAATTGTTGTAAACAGACTGATTTTCGACCTCAAAGGCCACGCAAACCATTCTGAAAGGAAATGTAAAAAAAAGATCGTTGCTACAACATTTCTGTAGCTATATCACCGATCGGTGTCCAGTGGGAAAAAAAGGAGGGCTTCTTACTGTCGCCAATTGACGTCCCTTGGAGGCAAAGTGTTAAGCGTCAAAGGTAGATGCAGTTTTTTTGTGGTCGACTCACTCCGCAGCTTTTCAGTTGAGATGTTATAACTTTTCTGGGTTCCTCTGGTGGGCAAAATGTAAAACTCGTACTAAAATCTAAAATCCCAGAGACGAGGAACTACTCGCCCTGCACCAGCCGTACGTTCCAGAGATGGAAGGCCATCATGTCCGGAGCCCCGGTGCCGAGGGCCCAGGGAGCCACGGCTGGTCGCCAGGACCTTAAGGGGCGGGAGTCCGCCTGTGAGTCGGTTCATTGCACGTCGGAGGCGTCGTCTCCAGACTTGACCATTGACCTAATCAACGACCTCGACGGAAATGAGCTTGGGGATGATGATGATGATTACCTGCTGTCTGACACGGTGGATAGAGAAAAGCTGGACAGGTAAGCTTGATATATTGACAAATTGTATAGGGTTGTTGTTTCGTTCTCTGCGTCCTATTGCTTTTGTAACATCAGTTAATATCTAAAATGTGAGGGAAAAGTTTGCTGACACGAAATTTTCCGGTTTGTGGATCACTTTGCTCTGTTTTATTTCCTTACCCCCTAACTAATTCGCGGGGATACAATTTAATTATGTTGGTTTCAACCTCGGAGAAAAACAATTGCTTGAAAGTTACTGAAACATAATTATTGTGTAAGTGTTAAGTTAATCTTTCTCAGAGGTGGATGGTTGGATGTTGCCACAGATGAGTCCTACTTCTTTTGTTTCCCTCTATTGTTAGTTATTGTCTTTCTGTATTACTTTTTCTATGTACCAGGAGTAAAAACAAAACAGGACATATCTGAAAGGCAATATAGCTCTGTTTAACTCACAAATTTGACAACCCCACCCTACCCCACCCCACTCCCTGCACCGCCCTCCCTCGAATGCATTTTATTTGTTAAAAGTTTTGTTCAACTTTTTGTGAAAATGACTGTTATTACCATTTAGACTGGTCCTTTTTTTTGTAGACACCCTGTACTTAATAGTCACTTTTCTAATGCCATTGCGCTCCTCTTTACTCACTCTTTTTCAGAGAGCTTCTTGGGCCAGATACAAGAGCTGTGGCATCTGTCTCTTTGCCCAACTCCAGGTCCGGCCCTTCTCATGCAGAGGAGTGTAAGTATATACTGTGTCATTCATCAGGATGTACACCATAGCTGATACATTTGTGTGTGCGCCTGGAGACGGGTCCCAGTTGTCGGCAAAGCTCTTCTGAGCAATGGGGTGAAACGCCAAAAAAGTCGTACCTTGGCTGTAATTTAGTTCCATCAGAAACACACGTTTAACCTTTTTTTTATTAACATATTGAAAGGATTTTATAATATTTTAAGTCTAAATATTTTTGTATTCATTATTTAATTTATGCAACTTGTTGCTAGAAATTGGATCAACATACTAAGGTTAAAGCTGTTTTTCTCCAAATTTTGTTTTTGCACCCCTTGGTACAAAATGCGACATCTTTAAAACTGCTCAATCTATTTGAAAAATTAAAAAAACCCCAGCGAGTTCAGCATTTAATTTACTACAAGAGGCATACAGACGTATCTCAAAGGCGGCCAAAAATGATTTATGTTTGTATGCAATACTGCCCGCGAAGAATATGCCCTTATTTTACTATCCAAAATTACGAACTAGGACCTATTTCCAGGCACACACTCCATGTTCATGTCGTTAGCGTCCTCATTATCACCTTGATTTACTATATTATCATCAGTTAAAGGATGATAGTTTATGGTAAACAAAAGTCTAACTCTCTGAAAATATCCTTCCCTACGAAACACGCGGACAAATAGGCTTGCATGCCCTGAAGACTTTCTTCATCATAGCTAGCTCTATGAAATCCTCAACTTTCTCATGTGATTCATAAAGATGGTTTTGTCTTCTCGACTATTAAAAAAAAAAATTGGGATGCCATTCTGACAAATCTTTAAGGTCTAGATCTCTAATATTGTCTATCAATGTAAGCTTCAATATGGTGTCCTTGTGAAAGAAGCATTTAGAGACCAACGCAAGAATTGAAGGAATATTTTCATTTTAATGTAAGTGTTGTTAAACTCCCATCGGCACAGTGTAGACCTCCCAGGAGATGTTCTTTCAACCCTGCCTGTCAGGGTCAACCCGAGTTGAGAGGGATGCTACATATCCAATAAAAAGACTGAGATATTCGAAAAAAAATAATTTCCCCATAAGGAAATTGAACTCCATTCTCCTGTGTGGGACAGGAATGCTCTTAACCACCACACCACAGACACTGGTAGAAAATATTTGAAATTGCAATTTAGTATTTGTACCGTAAAATGGTGTCACATGCGAAATAGAAAATGGCATGCACCTGATGACATGATAAAAAGCTTCCTGTTGTACATGCTAGGCATACATTTGATTGGAAAGACTAGAAAATTTATAGGTTTAATCACTCATGAAGCAGGAGAAAAAAAGTATTTTTGAAGTATACTAGTTTTTTGTCATTCACAGTTTTAGCACTTTCATGCTGTGTATTTTGCAACACTGAACAATTTTCGCGTTATAGATTACGGTAAGTATTTTGATTGCAGGGGTGGAGGAAAGTTTATACAAAAAGGAGTTATAAAGTTCATTGTTTGTCACAAAATTGTCATTCGTTCTTGATAAAACTGATGTGTATTTTGTAGCTGGCACGTTTTACATTTTTGAATCACAACTTATTGGGAGGGATATCTCTTTTGTTTAAACACTGTCAGTTTTTTATTCTGTACTTGATTAAGACAAGCATTTGTTTTCATATCCCCCCTAAAAGATGAAATTTTGTGGCTATCTTCTCCTGTTTTGTACAATATCTTCCATGTGCTCCTTTCAGCTCTTGCAGATATAGAGGGTCCAAACTTCCAGGTGTCAGGCAGTCCGGAAGCCAAGGATGATGTGGGGGAAGTTGGAATGGCAGAAGAAATCACTGAGAGGTCTGTTCAGGAGAATGCTAGCGAAGAGAAGAGATATTCACGCACTAGTGAAAGTGCCTTATCCTGTGGAACTTATTTCCAGAATTCGGAACGAAATGGAGAAGATGAAAATGTAAACGTGACTGGGTTGATGGCAGTTGCTCAAGGTGGACGCCGACCTCACAGCGCCACCTATCCTCAGGAAGTTTATACACCGAGAGCTGCAAACCTAAGGCCAAAGACAGCTGTAGATTCCTCTAGAAAAGCTGTAAGGTTTGCTGATGAGTCCAGAGTCTTGCAGCCATGTTCTCAGCAAGATGCTAAAACGGGTTCAGCGGCTAATGACAAATCTAATGAAAAAAGCGAAGAAAAATTAAGCGGTAGTAAGAAAGGTAAATCGTCCTGTCGGCCGCAGTCTTTGGATAGTGGTTTCCACGACAAGGATGGTGGAGGGGATGGCAACGATGAGGGAAGAGGTCGGACTTTTGTCACGCAGGAGAGTGCTCGTTCTTCTCCGAGTAAGGCGCTTTCAGAGAGTACACTATCTTCCCAGCAAAATCACTCAGACTCCAATGGAGGAAAAAAGCAAGCAGATTGGTCCTCTGTATCAAGTGTTTCTTCAAGCTCCTCATCGAACCATGTTGGTGTGACGAACAAGGGAGATCTTCAAGATGCAGTCAGTCTTGGCGCTTTTGTCGACTCGGACAATGTCAAAAATCAGCTGGAAAGGCCCGTTTCTGCTGGGGTGATGTATGCAGAAGCAAAGGAAGTGACCCACGCAAGGGTTGGTCGAATGAATGTGAAAGACAGATTAGATCAAAGATTTGCCAGGTATAAAGAGGGAAAACAAAATACTGCCACACGGAATTGTCATGAAAATGATTCAGTAATGAAGAATTCTGATATAAATAAGAATGTCGCCAAAAAAGAGACGACTCACTCTAATTCTTTCAATGAGGATACACAATGTACAGATCCAGCTCTAAAGTCCGAAGACTCACAGTCTGAACCGGATCAATCCTCAAAATTAAGCCGCACCTTCCATCGCCCTCCGAGCTCATCTTCAAAAAAAGCCAAAGCGTACAAATCCCTGATTGCGAAAATGAGAAAAGGCAAAGTGAGGCCATACAGTGGGTCAGTATATGCAGACCGAGAACTCAAAGACAAAAACTCTGTCTCAGGCGCTAGAAGAGACATACAGGGCACTCCCTCAAATTTCTCTGAGAGGTCCCACATTCTTAGCAAACATGGGCTTTTAGGAAATTCTGCTTCTAAAAGTTGGCCAGGAAGTACTAAACCTAGGCCTGCAAGCGCTTGCACTGCTCAGGTCAAGAGAGAGAATGAGAAATCTTTGAAAAAGGCTACCATTAAAGTGGATACTGTTGTGGAGAAGACTGGGCGTGATATTAAACAGGAACGTGATGGCTCACGATTTGTTTACAATCAATATTTAGAAGTTTTAGCTAGCGGGAGATCAAGACCCAGATCAAGCACGAAGGTGACGTTTGCAGAAAAAGATGACTACTCTGATGGATGCCGCAGTGACAGGAGATCATCTTCTGGCTACCCTCACGAGCAGTTGCTCTCTGCAAATAGCCCGAGGCAACTGGAACCTTTTCACAGAGCGTCTCTTACCTTGGGTGGATCTGCTGATGATGCTCACTGTGACCTTGACCAGATGTGGGATGAGCTTCCTTGTGACGACTCTGACTGTGAAGATGCCAACATTTACGGTCATAACGAAGGTGATGACGATGAATATCGTAAATTTATGAGCAAGTTTGACCAGCTGGAGTCTGAATTGAGTGCTGCGACAAGAGAACTCAGACGTGAAACTGCAAGCATTCAAAAGAAATTTCTGTCTGAAAACTCGAAGACGCTACAGCATAACCAGGTGGCATGTGTGCATGATGAAGATGTGAAACCGACGGCTGTGATGAGATTTGAAGGGACCTTCATAACAGCTGGTGATGCTGACCAGGTTGAGTTGTTAGAAATCCAAGACAAGTCAGAAGAAAATCCAGAAAGCCAGTCTGCGATCGGTTCACCAAAATCTACAACTCCATCAAAATCCAAAGAAGTAGAGTTTTTATTTAGTGCGGAATTTAGTGCTGATCTCTATAAAAAGACAAACTTCTACACAGAAGTCACCAATAAAGACAAGAGACCCAAGAGTGGACAGAAAGATAGAAACACATTTGAACGATCAGAGGGCAAAGAAAATGACAAACTTGCTAAAGTTGCCAAAGCTAGCTGCTCTCGGCAATCAAAAAGACCTGTCTCTGCAAATGCTAAAGAAAAGGTCAAACCTGCGGTCCATATTCCGACGTGTGTCACTCTTGAACTCGATGCAGCATTTGAGGTAAAAAAAGACACTCGCTCTGAAAATGAAAATAAAGAGAGCTTGTCTGGGCAACGCAGATTGTCTCTTTCTCAAGAAGGGATGACAGAGGTCCATGGTTTTGGTGGTAGTAAAGATTCTGCCTGCGACAGCGGAGACATTTCCAAGGGTCCAGGAGCAGATGGAGGGGTCAAAGCCTCGTCCTTGAAGGAGGGCTCAGGGAAGAGTGGCTTAAGCTTATCAGAACAAGTCAGTGAAGTTGAGAAAGGGAACACTTCAAATAATAAACTCCATGTGTTCAAGTCTACAGCAGAAGTCCCTCAAAAAACTTCTGAGGCAAGTGCGGATTATCACAGTTTAATCTTAGCATACAGGCAGTCTTGTATGGAAGATAGTGATGATGAAGGGAGCAAGCGTGAGAACAAGAAACAACGTGGTAGTCAGCCTTTGAACAAGAAAAGCACTAGTAACAATCTCAATGGATCTGCTTTTGGGAAATTGAGTAAGGACAGACATGAAAATAGAAAAGGAACAACAACGTCAAAGGGTGGGGAGAATGGTAGTAAAAAGTCCAGAGGTGAGATGTCTTTTGGTAGGAAAGAGGATGAGACAAAGTCCTCTGGACAACGGCCTGTAAGTGCCGCGACCACAGACAGCGGGGTGGAGAGTGACTCTGCCTCTCATAAAGGACTTAAAGGTCTTGAAACTAACCACACTAGGAAGTCTCATGAGGTCGATAGTGGCTGTGATAATTGCCAATCCAAGGAACCCATCATGTCTCAATTGTCCAAATCTACTCACGTCATTGGACTGGATCAGTCACATCATGCAAATAAGCTCAGTTCTGATCAGTCGCATCCAAGTACACAACATTCAGGAAGTCTCTGCGATGAAGAGGCTGGAGGTTTGAAGGAAGAGGCAGAGGAAATGCTCCCAGCACAAGTGCGGCGTAGATCTCAAGTGTCGGAAGCAGACAGTGCTGTGTCGGATGCTGAGCCTGTTCTTGGAGATGGAGATGAGCTACACTCTGAAAATATTCTCCCAGCCACTGCCAAGATTTCACAAAGGTAATAATCTCTGCCTATAGGCCTATATATATATATATATATATGTACGATTCTGGTGGCAATGACATTTGAGTCACTTTTCAGAAGAAACCACACACTCTTCAGGCCTCAAATTTTAACAAAGGTAGTGTTAAGGGTTCTTAACAACATGATGGAACAGGATTTTCTGTATTTTTAGCTAAAGCATTTATTGTAGATTCCGATCGCTATGTGTTGTTATGAAATACTCCAGAGTTGAGTCATTGCTTTCCAATCCTAAAAAAAAAAAATGGATATGAGGGTCTGTTGTTCAGAATAGGTTCAAAGCTACACTGATATAATCAAACGAAAATCCCCAAAGTAGTTGTTGAAGGCTCCATGGGTGAGTGGTTAAAGAGCTGAAGCTCACCATAATGCCATGCTTTTGTTGGAGCCACAACTGTAGCTCAAAAACAGGGCGCTGCACAGTGGTGACCAGCAGTGTTGACCAGCAGTGGTGGTTGGATTGTTTTTATATGTGATATAATTCATTGTTCATGCATTTATATATTAACGTATTTGTCTATATATATGTATGCCAATGTAATACAAAGTTCCCACAAGAATCGTTAAAGTGGAATTTACTTTTGTAAAATATCCATTTTCATTTAGATAGTGTGTTCCATTGACATAGAGACAGCAAGACTTGTCAATTTGTTGCGAATGTAGTAGCAGCCAAAAGCAATAATTGATAGACTTAGCCCTGAGCTGCAGGTTATCATGCTAATGGCATGTGGGCAGCTTGTGCAGTTATAATGTTTTAGTTTTAAAGGTTCCTGCTTTCATTTCTTGAGTGCTTGTTTTTGATTTCCTTTTTTGTTGCCTTATGCCATAAGTCAGAAGAGAGGTTGTCAGCACATGTGTAGAAGTCTTTCTTTCTTTCTTTCTTTTGGTAAGTGTTTTACGGCGCTCACAACTTACTGCATAAGGGCATATGAAGGCGCGGGACACATTAAACATTTTCAGTTAGTAGGAAATTTTGAATTTTGTCCTGGTGGCGGCTGAAGCCAACTCTCATCGATTTTAGACCACCAAGGGATCTTTAACGTGCGCAACTTGCACAGGGAACCTCCGAGATTTTTCGCCCTTGTTCCAGAAGGCTAGGTGTAGATCTTTCCTACAAGAAGATAAGGGGTGTGGCTGAAAGACAGCATTTAGGAGCCAAGATGTAGCTGTAGAAAGGCTGCAGAAAGAGTCAGGAGCCCAGAGGAGGGGGCAAAGGAGGTGAGGGAGTGGGGGTAGAAAGTGGAGACGAAAGCAGGCGACAGAATATTGTTAGAGAGCAGAAGAGGAGGTGAAAGTAGACAATTTTAGAGAAGAAATTTTTTCGGTCGCTACCCAGATTCTAACTTGGGACCTTTGAATGAGAGGGGAACACCTTAACCTTTAGCCCCTCGTGTTGAAGTCTAAATAATTCCGGTATATATACCATTTTAAAAGAAATTAAAGCACATATGTGTCAAAAAGTTTTATTTTGACTGTTTAGATGACATATAGTAGAGAAAAACAGTTTCCTTATTCTTTTTCTTTCACAGATATGATAAAGCTGTAGCCTATTTGGTTTAGTGATATGACAATGTTTGAGATATGTTTTAAAAACTTTAAAGAACATCTTATTGTTAATGTATGTATTAATTTTTTTGAAGAATTGTTCTGCTGAGACGCATTATAATTGTTTGTTTTTAAAAAACTTCGAGCATACAGCTGATGTTTTCAGTTACTGTAAAGCATGATATATTGTGGATCTCATTTTATGTGATTTTTGTCTCACAGCTCCGGTCCTCTGGAAATTGTTGCAGAGCCAATAAAGCTTGCCAAATCAAGGTAGAGTCCTCTTCGTCATATAATGTTGTTTCTTACAAATTAGTAAGAAGTAATCAGCATACTGTTTTTTTTAATGTAGTTCAAAATAATATTTTAATATCTTCAGTTTCTCTCTCTTTTTACTTCTTGAAAGCTTATTTAGTCTTACTCAGCAGTATATTTTTTTCTAAAAATATTTTTTGAATATCTTCATTCACTTAATCGTTTTATTTTTATAAGTACATGCAGTTTTCTTTTATGGACATACCGTAGCACTGTAGAAAACATGTTCCCTAACAAATTTGACTAGCAGTCAACTGCACACATGCACACACGCATGGACACACATACACACGCACACATACACACACACCAGGCAGACACACAAACGCACACACAGTCACACACACACACACACACACACACACACACACACACACACACACACACACACACACACACACTCACCCAAGCCACACACACAAACGCACACACAGACACACACACACTCACACTCACACACACACAAACACACACACACACGCAAATATACCCCCCCCCCCCCCACCCCAATCCTTTAACATAAACATACAAAGCTAGATTCTATTGGCTCTCCAGTCCTTTTTACTTTCCCCTCAAAAGCAGTTTTGGTTTTTCTCTTTTCCTTTCTAGAGCTCCCCAACATGAAGAAGATATCTCAGCCTTGTCCAAGCTGCCTCCCCTGTGCTTCCGTCTTAACGCCCGCCCTCCCTCTGGATTCCTTTACTATTTTGCCTACGACTCCACCATGAACCCTGACAGGTAATGTGTGTTAATTTTTTTCTTTCTTTTTAAAAAGTTTTTTTTTTCTTTTTTTTTCTTTTTTTTTTTTTGGGGGGGGGGGGGGGGGGTGGACTTTGTACTGTAATTTGTGTTAATTTTTTCACTCTTTTATTTTTTGTTAAGGAATTTTTGTTTGATACTTTGACCTGGATATGGCTAGTTTCATTAAAATGAGCCCAATCCTGAAAAATAGAACATCTCAATGATTACCAAAATGAAAGTTCTGAAATGCTATGTATGGTCAACCCTTCTATATGGCTGTGAATGCTGGACAATCCCGAAAGGCAGTGAAAATAAAATATATGCAACAGAAATGTGGTTTCTTAGAAGACTGCTGAGAATAGTTGCCATGCTGCTTTTTAAAATATTGTAGAGGGCTTCGGGTGTCCCTTGTTGTGTGCTCTAACACAAAAATTCACATTGATATCTTTTTCCCCCCCATTGTTTAGGACCTTTATAAATAAATTGTCAGAGACTTGAATAGAAAATTGTTGGAGGGCTCCAGTGGTGTATCTTGACTTTTTTTTACTGTCCCTTTTTTGGTTCTTTCCGAGCATTTTGTGTTTTCCCACCACTGAATAGCTATGGCCTTGTCCATGTGATATTCTTCATCAGGATGCCAGTGGGACGGTATTCATGTACTAAAACCTTGTGAAAGGTCTTTATTCAGGTTTTTTTTTTTTTTTTTTCTCATTTGACTTTATTTGAAAAAGGGTAAGAGAAGCTACTTGTCTATTACACTAAAAATAAACACCCCAAAGATCTTTTTATTTAATACTGGGTTGAAATAATACTGAGTTGGAATGAACATCGAAATAAATCCAAGGAATTTTGTTCAAATTGAAAAATCTGTCTTGATTGTCATATCTTTTGATTAAGAGGACAAGAATCCTACCTCTCTCTCCTCCACACACCCCCCTCCAACCCCCCCACACAGACACACACGCACACACACACACAAACACGCACATACGCGCACACACACATCAAATTGCTCCCCCCCCCCCCCCCCCACACTTCCTTCTTTTCCTCATACCATTCCCACTTCCCCACCTCACTCATTTTTAATTTTTTGCTTCTATTTTCCCTAGGATGGCTTCGTACTTGAAGTCAGAGACCAAGCTTAAACGTTTTTGGTCAATTCTCTTTGGCTTTGGTGTGGTCTTCAATAAGAAAGGTATTCATCTGTTGTGTGCATGTGGAGATTTACAATGCATTTCTATTTTATGTTAATTAATCATAGAGGTTGTACTACTTTGCATTTTGTGATGAAGGTTGTTCTAGAGAAAAGTTCCAGTAAAAAAGTAGTGGCACAACATATCCTCAAATTTCTCTTTAACGGGTGAGTCAGTGTCTTACATAGCGTATCAAATTGTCTGAACTTATTCATATTTTACCACAACAATTTAAGCTAGATTAAAAATTTTTTTAAATGAATATTTTTAAAATGCTACAAATCTTCAACATGCAGAAAATGGGGTTGTTCACAGCATTAATTCCCACTTCTCACACAGATTTTGCATATGCATATTATCTGGGCCACAGCTCACGAATGACACCTTTTAGTGGCAAAACCAATTAATTTTAAAGTGAACACATTTTTTGTACTAAAGGTTCTCAAAACGAACATTTTATTAAGCATAATGTCATGATTAGAAAAAAAAATGATGGACTTTCTTTTAAAAGCGATATTGCCCGAGCTGCAAACCTTTTAAAATCTGTAGAAACCATCCACCCGGATTTTTAGATCGTATTTATTAAGGGATTTTCTAGAATACAGCTAACAACTGTTTAAAAAAATTATAATCTTTTAAGACAAATCAATACATGTCGTCGTGCAAAAGGTGGAGACTTTATGTTCAATAGTTGAAGAGATATTTAAAATAATTTGTGCCACGAATTTTTGACCGCACTCTAGTCAGTTTAATTCTATGAAAGAAATGTTAAAGCCGTTTTACACACTGCTACCAGCATTAAGAAGAAAAAACAAGTGAACGAGGTCCCTAAGCAAGAATGGGATGGATAGTGCTTTGGTAGTTTATGTACTTTCAACCTTGTCCCAAAACACAAGATCCCACTTTGGGGGGGGGAGGGGGGGGGGGGGGGTGAAAGTTTGAATTCCTTATCACAAGTAGTTTCCATATATATTTAAATATATTGAAATTGTATTTTCTGTTGAAAACTGAAGTTTAATATATTGTTCTGGTTCCTGTTTCATGTAAAGTAAATGCTAAGTAAATGTTTTCTCCCCTTCTCTCCTTTTCCTCACTCCCCCTGCTCTGTCTGTCTGTCTGTCTGTGTGTGTGTGTGTGTGTGTGTGTGTGTGTGTGTGTGTGTGTGTGTGTGTGTCCGTCTGTCTGTCTGTCTGTCTGTCTGTCTGTCTGTCTGTCTGTCTGAATACCAGCCGGTCTGTCTGTCGGTCTGTCTGTCGGTCAATCTCTCTCTCTCTCTCTCTCTCTCTCTCTCTCTCTCTCTCTCTCATTTCTACAAACTGGAACCCCCCCCCCCCCCCCACAAAGGGCAGTTCCACTGACTGAAGTGACTTTAGGCCATTCCCAATGGGGGGGGGGGGGTAATAACATGCTCTTATGCACAGTAGAATTGTAAATGGGCTGATTTATCAATGTCATGCTTATACTGTGTTGGAACAACATAAGGGGAACTGCTGCTTTTTCTTTCCTCATCATTACTATGGTCATTTTCCTCTACTTCTTTTGTTTGTTTTTCACTCTCTTGTGAACTGCTATTTCGCAGCTGCCTCGATCGAAGCAGACTTTGTGCTGTTGAGGCTAGAGAGGTGAGCAGAGTAAGCCTGTTTCCCCGTTTGGACTTCTCTGTTGACATCCCCCCCTTGGCGCTCATATGACCTTATGTAGTTGCGAGCGCCGTAAAACCTTACAAAAACGTACTAAAACTAAACTGGAACCTACTCTTCCCTTGCAGGAGGTGGTGAGGACAAGTCAGTTGGGGGATTCCCCAACTTGGAGCACAACCCGACATCCTCTGTGGAGGGATGCATCTATCAACTCACGCCTGAGCAGTTGACCTCCCTGGATCAGTTCATGGGATACCCTATGGTTGGTGTATTAGTTTTTTGTTTTTTTTTCATTCCGGCTGCTCAGTGTTAAACTCCATCATACGTCACTTTTCTAATTGGGGTATGGCGGAGTCTTACTCCCCTCCCTCCACTTCAAAACCACCCCCCCCTCAAAAAGAAAAAAAAATGGCAATACCTGTTTCTTTGATTTCAGTATTTTGATGGGAGCCTGATTTCACCACGATGCTACACAAATACTGTCGATGGGGGCGTAAAATTTATGAAGGTACTAAAAAAATACTTTTTAACTCCTTATCTCCGGCAAGCTGCCCCCAGTGGCTCACGGTCGGAGCCGCTTTGCTAGTGAGCTGTTAGCAGCGGCTTGGGCACATTCCTTTATGATGACTTCCATATCAAGTTACTTTTCTGCAATTTCTGAAAACAGATCTCTTTTAGGAAAAGTTCGTTTATTAGATGAAGAACTATCAAAATAATTCATTTGTTTGTGATTTAATGACCAATTTAGTGACACCTATCTCACTTTTAGATTTCGTACCAAAAAGATGGTCCCGGCACAGTGCCCCCCCCCCGGAGATAAAGAGTTAAATAGGTGACAATGGAGTCAAATGTTTGATTGTTCCTCATCTCCCCAGATGTCGGAGCATGTGGTGTTACCCGTGTGGATGTCCAACTGTACAGAGGGTACAGAGGATGGTGGGCTGGGGGTGGCTCAGTACTGTGTCCCAGCAGTCATGTACATAGCAAAGACTCGAGCAACGTGGCAAGGTAAAAGCTCTCTATTTCTCTTGGGTTTTTTTTTTTTTTGAGAGAATAAAATTTTCCCTTTTGATACGGAAAATTGTTTCCTCTTAAAAAAATAATTTTCTCCTTTCACCTCTTTTTCTGCTTTCTAATCATGTTCTGTCGTTTGATTTCGTCTTCACTTTCTGCCCCCTCTGCTGGGCTCCTGGTTCTTTCTGCTGCCTTTCTACTGCTACTCCTTGGCTCCTTCATACTGCTGTTATTCAGGCACACCCTTGATCTTAGGGTTGTTAAGACAACACAGAGCTTTCTCGGATAAAGGCAAAAACATTGCGAACGTCCCATGAGTAAGTTGAGTACGCCAGAGATCCCTTGATGGCCCTAAAAATTAATAAGAGTAGGCTTTGGCTGCCACCAGGGCAAAGTTCAAAATTAATTCCTATGAGATTGAAAATGCTTAATTAGTCCTGCACGTTCACGTGACCTAATACAGTTGCGAGTGCTGTAAAACACTTTCCAAAACAAACTTCTCTGTATTTTTGTGTTGGGTTCGTATTGCTTGTTTTATGAAGTATAGTGTTATGAAGCTTTTCAATTATTTTAAGCCAAGAAAACAAAACTATTCAAGAGAGAGAAAAAACTCTATAATTTTTTCAATAATTGTCCCTGTATTGTGTTTGTTTGATTTGTTTTTTTTTCCATTTTAAGTAGGCCTATTTATATTTCAACAAAATATTTCTTGGACTTGGACTATTGCAACGGATACGATAGAGTAAGAAACAAGGCTTTTACAGGCTTCAGCTTTTAATTGTGCAACAGTATTATAGGGTTCTAAGGAATATAGTTAGATAAAAATTGTAATTCCCATCAGGGGTAAAATTTTAGTGCTTTTACTGTATTTTGCATTGACACCGTTTATGATATTAAAAAAGAGGTGTGGAATGTTGTTTCTTTCTCACAGCATATCGTCAGTTTTATGGAGTGCTTTTTTAAAATCTGTGTACCTGTGGGGCTTGAAAGTTAAAAGCCCATACCTTTAAAATTGGGAGGAAAGAGTTTGTTTTTTTATTGATAAATTTTTTGCTGAAGGAGTGTAATATCTCCTTGTCTATTGATGAGAACTGCATGGATCTATACCTGTCAGTGGCAGGACTAACATGAATAAAAAGGTCACTCGTGAAAATGTTATTATGTTCTGATATATTAAGGTTTGTCGGCACTGTTACCAGATTGTTTCTTCTCCCACTTTTCAGAACCAGTAGATCCGAACCAGTTCGTTGTGAGCCAGTGCCACAAGGCTGCTGACATTACGTCACCAGCATATCAGGGACATCTCGCCTCTTTTTCAAGCCCTGTGACCTGTACATCCCTTGCGCTTGTTGCAGCTTAAAATTGTCAAAATGAAATCGTTTGGGAGGTTTTTTTCTCCCTGTTTTATCTATAATGTGATATTACTTTTTCTTGTTGCTAAGCAGATTTGTTCACAATCACATTTATTTTGGGGGGGTGGGGGGGGGGGTGGGGTTGACAAAGTGACCTTTTATGGTGAATTTTATAAGATTTCTAGTAATATGGGGCAAAGAATTTTTTTGTCCTTTCCTTGTCGGAATGAATGGAACACTAAGCTTTAGCCAAAATGTCGTTTACACTTTCTTGCCAAACTACTATTTTTATAAGTTTAAACTCATGAGAACTGTCTCAATCACCATAAGATAATAACAAGATTATTTTTGTCTTTATGATAATAAAGGTGTCGTTTGTCTTTTCCTTTGTGGTATGCAATAATTTTTAAACATCATAAAAAGCATGTTAATTTTGCATCTGATCTGCACTTTATGGCCTTTTTTTTTCATCATCATTTAAATTTTGAAAAAAATAATGTTTTTTGCCTTTGAAAAGCAAAGACCTTTCAGTATACTTTTTTTCTTTTTCCTGCTGGACTCTTCCCCTACTCTGTGCTAAAGATTTTTCTGTTATGAGAGCAGTCTCTTATATGTTTCAGCTTAATTTTATCCACACTTTAAAAGTTAAAAAGACATGATGTTATAAGTTGCGACTCTTGAAAATGAAAAGAAATAAGCTACACATTTTTTTTAAAGTTTGAGTTTAAATATTTTCTTTTTTTTTCATAATATTTTAATATATGCATGTTCTTTTTTTCTTCAGAAACGTTTATTTTTTAGGGAATGGCACTTTTTAAAATCCAAAAGACCATCAAATTTTTTTTAGTCGATGATATTCCTGGAAAAAAATAAAACTATACATGTAAAGTTTACATCCATACGGTACAAATCTTCTTGTTATCAAGATGCTTAACGCAAGTTAAATCTGCAGGGAGCAGGTCAAGAAATACATTTTGCTGAAGTAGTTCAAGCAAAAAGTATTCAATTATTTGAAAGATGAAATGTCTTGACCTCTTGTCTTATAAAACATAAAAAATATTTTTTATACTTCTTTTCACTGGAAAAGTATAGTGCACTCTTTTTATTGTGCTGGAAAACTTTTTATTTTACATTAAAATTATTGTATCAAAGAGTTCACTGATGGTTTCAGTTAGTTGTCCTTATGATGATTGATTTGTAAACTTCATTGAAAAAAAACCCATGATATTGCGAGCGCTGTAAAACCTTACTAAAACAAACATCAATATTTTATAGTATACAAAATGTAATAGTATTAGTAGCCGTGCTGTACTCTTTTTTTCATGAGAACACCATGCAGTTACATGGTCACGACAAGTTTTAATGAGTAATTCGTGTTTTCTATTTAGGACTCTTTTCTAGTCTGCGTCTTAATAAGTTTAAACCTTTGATTCAATGTTTATATAAATGTCATATTCCAGGGAAAGATGAACAGAAATGAATTTGACTTTCGGAAGATAATTAGATGTATTGCTGAATGTTCCAAGTGAAGCATAGTGCATGTTTAAGATGACAATACCATGGTTTTTGTGTGATTTTATGCTTGCCTCACACCAGGCAGCACTCACAAGTCGTGATTTGCAGGAAAGACTCATCGTGTTATGTTTTCTTTTTACCCCGTGATTGTTGATGTTTCTGGAGACAATTTGCAAAGTGGTGTTTTTTATGTGTCCTTTATCTCAGTATTATTTAACTTTTGTGATGACCCAAGTATGGATATTACTTCTTATGCTATCTTTTGGATAGACCAGCACCAAAAATAATGCTTATGCCGAGCTTCACTTTGAATATATTTGCCGTTTCTTTTTGTGCACATATTCAATAATGATCTTTCTTTTAAGATCTTTATGCTAAGAGCTTAGTGTAAGTGGGTAGAAATATTTATTGAGTATCTCTGTCTTTCTGTGAGATAAAGTTTCCCTCTCAGCCAAGGTTGGCCCTGACAGGCTGGGCTAGAAGCCCACCGCGTAAATAACCTAAATAAAGTCACTGGGGGGCATAAAACAACCCCCAAAGAACTACTTTAAAAAATTCCTTTAAAAATAATTTTGAAGGACAGTAATTTTGAATTTAGATTTGTTATTGTCAACTGACCAAGGTGGATTTTGTTTATACTTGAGTGATGGCACAGAATGTAGTAATTCTTTGTTGAGCCTTATCGCAGGCTCTAATCATGGAACACTGGTGTCTATGATGTTGCCGTTGGGCATTTCTCCCTTGGTTGCAGAAGATCTGAGTTGAAATTCCATGTGAAGAGGTTTTTTCATTGATTCTCTCCATCTTCTGCTAGAACATTTCATCCTTCTCAGCCTCGGCTGGCCTTGACAGGTGAGGTCAAAGTAGTTGACCTACTAAATAATGTATATCATGTTAATTAATGTTCTAGCAGAAGATGGGTGATGGACATTAACAATTATATCACACCTGCAAAGCAGTTATTGCCCTGTCCATCAACCATGTAAAGTCAATGAGGTTGAGGAACTTGTACCTCGTCTGTAGCCCTTTACATGATATTAAGTGCTGTAAAAAGCACCACAAACAAAACTATTCTCGGAGAAATTTTAGAGAGGATGAAGAAGACAGAGTGTTTAAAAAAACAAGTTCTACACTTACGTAATTACACATGACATTGACATTTTTGTGTCCCTGTCATTTGATTTGAACTTTCCAGAAGTCTTCCCAAAGATAGCCAAACGTACCCTTGGATCTTTTGATGGTACACATGTATCTTTAGAATTGTCAATATCGGTATTTGCGATTTCAGCAGACCCCTCTTTTCATCACTTCGTTTTTATTCATCCATGTGAGGAAATTAAGTTACAGTAATGAGTGCAATGCATGAAAAGAATAATTCAAAGGTTGCAGCAAAGTCAGATTATACACAGTATTGTACCCATGCAAAAAAAAAAATTCATGAAGACTCCATTGCTGGTCGTAACAATCATGTTTTTTTCTATGTTGGTCTTTGTTTATGTCTTCTTGTATTTTTGTCATTTTTCTTTTATTTTAAGGCTCAGTTATTTCCTTTTGAAATTAAAGTGAAGAGTTGTATGTTATGGAATTGTTTTTGGATTCAAACATAGGAAGGATTGTCTTGAAATATTGCTCCAGATTATATGAAAATTTTTTTTTTTTTCATTATCATGCAGATTCAGCCTGTATTCCTCTCTGTAGCTTGAGGATTTAATTCAGTATTATTGTTCATGCATTCTGTAAAATCATGAGTTGAGAATGTGTGAATTGCTTTATTTTTTATCACACACTGAATTGCATGTTTATCAATTAATCTTAATCTAGCAATAGTGCATTATTGAACAGCAAGTATTTTTTTCTTTGTGATTGTTATACATTCCATCATTAGTTCAGCAGTGTATGTCACTCAGACAATGTGTCAGCATACTGAAAACAAGGTTGTCGACTTATCTCTATAATTTTTTACTTCCACATTTTAATGGCATGGTTTAGCAAAATCCAAGTGATTCATTTAGATGTTATTGATTTGATTAGTTAGTAGGTCTATATAATATATAACTAATAATATACATTATGATAAAAGGTTTACTGTGATTGATTTAGACTATTATTGTTACGAAATAGGTTGTTTTAATTCCGAACTTATTTTCATATTTCATTTTTGTGTCTTCAGGCCTCAGGATAACTGAAGTCATCCATTGGAATATTTTTGTTGTTAATTTGTTTAGATGAAATCTAATAAATATGTTTTAAGCTTTACTGTGATTGATTTAAGAAAATTATTGTAATGAGAAAAGTGGTTTTAACCCTTTGAGCCCTGACCTACTGATGCTGCCGTGCCCCTTTGTCTGAGCTCCTTAGCGATATAGTATTAACATTCATATGATCGTCAGAATCACATGCCATATCCTACTCATGGTAGTCCTCGTCATTATAGAACCTATTTCAGAAAGATATGCAGAATAATCAATAACGACCAGTGTGATTTTCTGCGCTCATTTTGTCCAAGGTGGGCCAGTTTGGGAATAGGGTCTCGCTCACCGCTGTACTGGTGGCAAGGCACATGGGCAGTTTTACACTCCACCGGTGTACCTCTGGCTAGGGCTCAAAAGGTTAAACACAGACTTATTTCCATACTTTATTCTCACACTTGTATCTTCAGGATAACTGTATACTGAAGTTTTTATTTTTTTACATTCATGAATGTTCCTTTAATAGAAACAAATATATATATGAATTTGTGACCGAGCATGAGTGTAAGAGCAGTCATCAATGTTTGTATTGGTAAATACTTAAGCAGATAGCCTGTGAGTGCTCTGGTTAGGTCTGTGTCTCTTATTTCTCTTATCTAAGTGTTGAACTGTACCACTCTGACTCAAGAAGACATAACATATTGCTATTGATTTTGATAGCTATGAATGTTGATGTTGATACTTTTGCCCTTGTCAGTGAAATACTGCTGTTTTGATTGCTCAATTTTTCCATTGCTTTAATTGTCCCCTTTAAATATATAGAGAAATGAACCATATAATATGTAGATTTATTTATTATAAATTATAATTAATTTTTTGTTTTAATTTTTGCAGCACTGACTTTTGTCAGTCTGTTTTTTTCTTGATGCACCATGTATCAGACACCCTGTAAGGACTGTGATGTAGAAGAAAACCTTGTAGACAATAAACAATATTGTAGTATATAACATTTCTTTATGTTTATATTGTTTTTTTTTAACATTACGGGGAAGTTTTACAGCGGAGTATGCTTAAACCAAACATGGTTAATCTGAAAACTGAGATAAACTGAAAATAAACCCCAAGTCCCCGTTTATTTTTTCTTCTGCATGAGCAACTCGCTGAACCTTAAACCCAGGGAGATCAAAGAAAGTGAATTGGCGGTCCAGCAGATTTCTGTTTAAAGAGACTCTGCTGAATCATATTGAACCATCTTAAAACCTGTTCATTTGTCTGGCTTCCATTCGATGAAAACAATACTCATCTACACAGAAGCTGAGATATTTGCAATTGAAGAAGGTGGAGGTTACCTTGTTTCAGAAGTAAAATAAATGAGAAAATGGCCGCCAAAGTTTGATATCTTCTACAGTTAA